TAGATCAACACGGCTACAATCAATATCCCTAATACCTACTAGAAGACACAGATCACTCTCTTAACAGAGAAAACCTTTGTTATATAAAAAGATAAGAAAGTGAGCAGTATTGTACTATCAATTATTAGTTCTAAGCAGCTTCAACACTGTTGCCATAATATAACCCATGTATCGTCCAAATACTTCCATTACAAATAAGAATATCCGATGTATTTAAGCACCAACTGTTTCTATATTCCTTATCTAACTAAAGTACAGTCTAAAATCAGTCATGAAACCCCTGACACCTTCAAAGCCAATGGGAATCTTGCCTGGGGTTGCCAACTCTCAAGGATTGCCCTGGAGTCTCCAGGAATTAGATATAAATCTCCAGGAGACTACTGAAAGTCACCTGGGAGATAAATGATAGGGCATTCATTAAAATAAGTATTAAATGTTGAATCTGACATATACTAGTCCGGTGGGTTTTTAAAATGTCATAGTATCGTGCATTTGCCTTCTTGATGTAAAGCCGACGCACCATAATCTGCAACTGATATACGCAAGCACATGGGCACGTTTGCATTGTGTGTGTCAGGCACGTTAGTGTTCCAGAAACCTCCTGGAATAGATTCAGAGTTGGCAACCCTAGTCTTGCCATTGATGTAAATAAAACTAAGATTTCACCAGTTGGTCCCAGAACAGAGCTGCTATTGAGCTGTCATTTTTAAAGGAGGAAGCCGGCATGCGCAGCACACTGCCTCATAAAGAAAAATAAACCACAAACATGCAAAAGCTTGTCTCCAAACAAGCAAAACCTGACACATGGCGTTACATATTATAAACAACTACTGCTGACCTAAAGTTTTTGTTTAATTGTCTTTTATTTACTTTCCTCTTCCTTCCAAATAATGGTAATAAAGAGAGGACAGAGAATCATAAAAAAAAAGGGGGTTTTGGGTTTTTTTTAGTTTTAAAGTCTACATGGGCTTGTCCTTCTGGTTCCTGCGCATCCATGAGAGACATATCTCATTTGATTTGTAGCTTACACTGATTCAAAATAAGAGAAGTAGTACTTTTGATAAGGAAGTATCACTTTGTCCTAGAAACATTAAACCTGAAAGCAGTTCTACAAGTACGCACACAGGGGTAGCTGGTTTTGAACTAGGAATGCTACTTGGGCCAGTCTCTACTTGATGAAGCTTTGATGTGGTATGGGGAAGGCCCATCAATACTCAGAAAAAGCTTCCACTGACTTCTGAAAGCTTTCTCAGTCAAAACTTTAGGGGACCACGTCAGATGGCAGCCATGTGCTTTGAACAGAAAACAACGACCCTCAATTCTCATAACTGCTCGGATTTAAGAAGATTCCTGGTTGTTATGAAGAGGTGCTTCTTTATGCATGCTTTAACTGTTCTAATAACTGATACTATTTAGACCAGGGGTGGGCAATTATTTCAGCTGGAAGGCCACTTAACAAGATTGGTGAGCTATCAGGAAGCGCACACATAAAATCTTTCACAAGATATCGTTTTAACAAATACAGTACTAGGTAAAAAACAAATAATATACTAAAAATGAAGAATCTACTATATTTTAATGTTATTTCAAAAACTATTTTTTGTCCTGATTTTATGTATTTTGTCCTGATTTATATATTTTTTTATAGAAGCAATAGCATAATAGTTCGAAATAAAATATTACTTTTGTATTGTGTGGGGTGGGGATGTGTGGAGGGCATGGTGTGTGTGGGAAGGGCTGTGGGTGTATGCACGGGAGGTGTGTACATGGGTGTGTGTGGGGGTGTATGTGGGGGGTATGTGTGGATGGTGTGGATGGAGGGGGTGTATGGGGGGGCTGCAGGGTGTGTATGAAGGGGGTAGGCATGTATGTGGGGGTGTATGTCGGGGGGAGGGGAGGCTGCCCACATGCTAGGTCCCAGAGCCGGCCAGGGCTGGGGAGAGGGAGGGAGGGAGTGGAGGACAAGGGGCACATGCAGTACAGCTTGCCTGGGCAGTGTGGTGCAGGTGTAGGTGCAGGTCTGGTCTGCTCCTCCTCACCCCCCATGTGGCCCGTGGCTGCCCCTGCAGCCCTCTGCATGGAGCCATGTCATGCCAGCTCCCACCTAGGACAGCCCATGCCCACCCTGGGAAGCCTTGCACTCGCCAGACAGTGCCACCCTAGCCCCAGCCAGTGTGCACAGCTTCCCAGCAGGGCTGCTGCTGCAGCCACCCAAGTACTGCTTGGCTCCCCCACATCCAGAGGCTCCTTCTTCTCCTCTTCCTGCCCCTACTTCACCACTGCAGGCAGCAGGTAAAGCTGGGAAGGCATGGGAATGCATGCTGGGCAGCAGATGCCCAGCCAGTGGGGGAGAAGCTGCCGCTGGCCAGCTCCTGCTCCAGCTCCTAGCCACCTTCCACCCTCTCCACCCACTCAGCAGGATGAGCAGCTACCTGCAAGCAGCCAAATGAACAGAAGGCAGCTGGGAGCTGGAGCTGGAACCCTGTGCACTAGGCCAGGAGCTGCCTGGCTGTAGCTTCCCTTCTGCCTGGCTAGGTACATGGTGCCTCACGTGTGTCTCCATGGCTGCCATTGCATCCCTACACTACCTGCTGCCCAGAGCAGCACAGCAGGGGCAGGAAGAGGAGGAGCTACTGAAATGAGGGAAACTGAGCAATACCCATACAGCTTCAGCTGTACTGGGAGCAATCCTGCTGGCAGAGGTGACACATAGGGGGTGCACGGGGGTGCATGTGCACCCCCTGAGAATGCCGGTGCACCCCCCAACCGGCCACGCTTGCTGCTTAGGTGATTGGCAGGTGGGGCAGGCAGGAGTGCCCGTCCGCCCCCTGCAAGTGCCGGCTGATCACTGCAGCCGCTCCCAAAAGCAGCTGCAGCCACTTCTGGAAGTGGCCACAGCAATCGGCCATCGCGGGATCAGTTGCAGGGGACCCCTGCCACCCCGGGCAGAGAGATCTGTTGTGGGGGACACCCCCCTGGTCAGTGGGATCAGCCACGGGGGACCCCCCCACCGGTTGGTGGGACTGGTCACAAGGCGGGGGGCACATGCTCCCCCCGACTAAGGTGGCACCAGTTGTCCATGTCTGCTGGGAAGCTGTACACTCTGGTAGGGGCTGCAGCAATCAGTGGGTGTGGGTAGGAGTAAGGTGCAGGCTGCCCCGGGGGGAGTGGGTAGGTCTTGGCCCCATGTGGAACACCATGGGGGCAGCTGTGGGCCAGATACAATCAATTGGTGGGTTCCCACCGGTGGGCCAGATCTGGCCTGCAGGCTGTATTTTGCCCACCCCTGATCCAGACAGTTTCATTGCTTCCGCAATGTGTCACATGGTTGTTAGAACAAGAAATGCTCAGCTGTGCTGTAGCTTTCCTATTTGACAAAGACTTACTGGCCGTAAAGATGGCATGTGAGATTGTAAAATAAAGAAACATACAGATATGCCAGTGGCCTGAACTGAAAGATCATTCTCTGGTACTATCCGACTCCAATGATTTGCCATAAAACAGAGGTGGAGTTTTAGATTCGGTGGTGATTTGAAATTGGTCATTAGATGCCAGTGAGTTCATACTTGGATCCAGGAGGAAAGAAAGGATTAGCTCAGCTCCCGTGAAACTGTGGAATGTGATTCCCGTGCAAAGAAACCACGATGACCACAAAGCTATGATCTTGGCCTTCCTCATCTCTGTCTGCAACGATTTGGCAACTAAGGAGAGAACTGGCATGCAAGCCTGAAGGCATCTCAGTAATAAAAAATAAACGACATAACCCTGGGGTCCATACGACTCAGGGCAAAGTAAGGTTTATGCTGCTGTCCAGGTTTCGGCGAAGTTAGCAAAGCTAACTGCACTTTATCGTGCATCAGCAGATGCATGACGAACAGAACCAAGGAGGTGATACTTCCCCTCTATCGGGCACTGGTCAGACCGCAGTTGGAGTACTGTGTGCAATTCTGGTCACCGCACTTTAAGAGGGATGTGGATAACCTGGAGAGGGTCCAGAGAAGGGCCACTCGTATGGTTAAGGACTTGCAGGCCAAGCCCTATGAGGAGAGACTGGGGCACCTGGACCTCTTCAGCCTCCGCAAGAGAAGGTTGAGAGGCGACCTTGTGGCTGCCTATAAGTTCATCACGGGGGCACAGAAGGGAATTGGTGAGGCTCTACTCACCAAGGCGCCCCTGGGGGTCACAAGAAATAATGGTCATAAACTAGCAGAGAGCAGATTTAGACTGGACATTAGGAAGAACTTCTTCACAGTTCGAGTGGCCAGGGTCTGGAACGGGCTCCCAAGGGAGGTGGTGCTCTCCCCTACCCTGGGGGTCTTCAAGAGGAGGTTGGATATGCATCTGGCGGGGGTCATCTAGACCCAGCCCTCTTTCCTGCCTATGCAGGGGGTCGGACTCGATGATCTATTGAGGTCCCTTCCGACCCTAACATCTATGAATCTATGAATAAGTTGCCCACCTCACCGAAGGTGGCCTTCCAGACTGAGCGTGAGTCCCTGACTGGCGGGAAGGTGCCTGGACGGGATGCGGCGCACTCCTGGCTGGCTCTGCCCCTTTCACGCCTTCACCTTCCACCCACTGGAACTGCCTACTGCTTGTGGCCCTGGCGGGGGTGGCACCTTGT